CCCCAAAACCCCAAAACCCCAAAACCCCAAAACCCCAAAACCCCTTCATAAGTCATAGAATTAGGATAAGTGAAAATGATAAATATAAATATATTCAGACCTTTTTAAGGTTGTCTTAAAGTTCGCTGTTGACTTAAAGTGATCATTTGATCATATTATTTTATCTACTCTAAGTTAAAGCAAACATCATTTGTTAGTTTTGATGCTGCTGTTAGGCGCTCAGAGCATTTCCTTGAGGAGGATTGTACGTATTATTTACGAAAAATTCCTTTAGTTTGTTAATTTAACTCATATTTCTACTCTAACTCTGTGCAGAAGTAGTATTTACTCCATTATTTATAAACTTATACTTTAGATTTGCTGATTGATTATTGTTTTAATTTTGATAAGATTATTAGTTATTAGGCAAAGACTAGTAGTTATTAATTGTTGATGTAGTTTAAGTTTTATTCTAAGGAATCTAATTCATTGCTAATTAAGAAATTGGTCTAGTTGAAGATTAAGATATTACTCCTCTCTACTATTATGAAGAATCGTTTAAACTTGTCTAATTTACTACTTATTTTTTCTTTTTAGAAGAATTTTAAAGGTTTTATTGAACAATCGACTAATTCATTTCTTTCATAAATGTATTATACAAATTCTTCCTTTCTTCACTATTTAATATTCCTTATCCAAGTTGGTTTTATGTGTTTGACAAGTTATATTAGATTTAGGTTTTCATAGGAGTAATTTCTTTTTTCAATGAACCATTCTTAGCAGATTAGAATGTTCCAGACCTATCAATTTCATTTTATTACTAATTAACTACTCTACTTTTCATCGTTAACATCCTTCCTCCTTTTCTCTCTGATTACGCTTTTATGTTTTAAGTAGTAGCGACATCTATTAAAAGTTACTTAATCATAAGATACTTTGAGATCGACTTCTTCTGTGAGAATTAGTTACTGACTCAGATGAATTTTCAGCAAGTATTTCATCATGATTAGTACTAATCATCTGCTAGATAAGTAAATTTGAGTTATTCCCTTCATCATTACTTAGTTCTTATCTCATATTTGATATGAAACTCATTTGCTATTCATTTAAACCTTATCCCTAAGTTAGATTTTGAATCTAATTCCTATAGCTTGATTTTTTGTTTTAAATAATGACCATAGAATTATCATTTTAACTATAGGTTATTATCTCCGATTATTATTTACTTTAGAGAGGAATTGCTTGAAAGGTCATGCAAAATTTAATTTTTACTTTTGTTAGAATCATTCCCTACAAGCTTTCCGAAAATTTGTTGCTGATTGCCCAGATATGGATTTTCTTCATTCTAGTTGAACCAATTTGAATTCGGTATTATTGAACTTTGATTATTTACTTTACTCCCATTTTTTACCTATTAGGTTATTAGATGTTACAAATTTTACAATTTTCTTATTTTTTCTATTCTAGCCTGAGTTCAGAGATGCATTTAAAATGGCAAAATTTGTCTTCATGTTTTTATCTGGAGTACTTGAAGCAATAGCCACCGTGCTTAAGCCCAACTTAATTGGTTGATTAGAGGCATTTTGTCTGTTTTTCGAACCTGATTACCTTTTTTCTACCAAAAGATATTTGTTTATGTCTTATTACATTTTAAGTAAATCATTTTGATCATTCAATGCTTGTAAATTATTAAGATGTGGTTATTGCAAGTTAGATTTATTGTTTAATTTTTTATCATTAGTCAATAAATTTTTCTAATTTTGAATGTAGTTATTATTGCTATTGTTATTAATTATTCCTGTTTAAGTAAGATTAGAGATATTAGAGATCCCACTTGCACTCATATCTTAAGTATTCGTAAAATTACCTTTGTTGTTAGATGAAGTGTTTTAATGAGCTAATTAACAATATTGGCAAGGACAGCTACATCCACCTGCTATAGTTGTTCTCTTGAATAATATTTTTTTATTTGTACTGGTTGAGTTACTTGCTCCTCCAATACTCGAAAATTTCTTATCAATTGTATCAAGGGATAGATCTGTCTTATTTTTGCTATTACTTCTATTCACAATCTATTCATTTATGTTGTACAATGAAAAATTTTGAGTTCTGGAGGGAGACATCATTTGTCGGCATAAATTACAAATTGACTGCTGACTTTTACTACTTGGATTGCTAATGTTAATAGCATTCTTCTATTAAGAATTTTCCTGTTTAAGTTTATGAATCTCTGAGGTTAGCTGATCCTTTTCAATTTGAAATCTTTCTTTCATAGATCTGCTCTCAAGTTGAAATTTACTTTCTTAGTCTCTCAACTCTTGTTTTAGTTTCGATATTTCTTTTTCAAAGTACTCTATCTAAATCTTCTTTTCATTTTGAAACTAGTTATTGAATTACTAATGATTTTAGATTTCCTTCAACATTTTTTCATTATCGCTCTCGAGTTCGTCAAGTCTGAATTCGATACTCTCAATATGTAACTTTAACTGCTACTCGATTCTTATATGTTTCCTCACGTCACCTTCTAATGATATAATGATTTCTTCATAAACCTGGGGTGGTCCATCTCTCAATGTCATTATTGATTATTAACTCGAACGTTAACTATCAGTACCGATATCGTAGCTTAAAGCTCCATGTCCACCACGGCTGCTGTTTATATAAGTATCTGCCTAGTATTAGTTTTTCTAATCCTTTTATTCAAGCATTGCACTTTCAATCTTTAAATTCAAAAGTATATCCATTGAAGATCTTATATAATCAATGACTACTAAATTACCAAGTTGACTAAGTCTCTTTTTCTCCTCTTCAACTTATGCTGCAGTCTCATCTATCTGTTGATTTTTAGCTGAAGTGTCATCGCTTAAAGTTATCTTTCCACTAGAAAATTACTTCAATCTTTGCTTCAAATTCAGATATAATTCAATCACAGTTTGAGTCAATAAATCATCTCCCTTTGTAGAATGAGATTTTTAGTGAGAGAGAAGTGGAAGATGATTCTGAAGTGTATTATGTATAGTTCCGTCCATTACAATATTTTTATCCGAGTGTAAAGATAAATATTCTTAAATTTCAATTCAATCATTCCAACACATCCTTAGATAATTGCAATAGGTGGTTTTGGGGTTTTGGGGTTTTGGGGTTTTGGGGTTTTGGGG